TGTAAAGTGCTGTCATCAGCGAAGCTGTGGATTGGCTTGATCGTGCAGGAAAGGAGGTCGTTGATATGTAAGAGAAACAGTGTTGGAGCCAAGACCGATCCCTGGGGAACACCCGCGTTGACGTTGTGGGATGAAGAGGAGAATCCGTCAATTACGACGGATATCTTGTGGCCAGAGATAAAGTCAGCCACCCATCTGCAAAGCTTTTCTGGGAGGCCATAGGATGGAAGTTTGCATAAGAGGGCAGCGTGCCACAGCTGATCGAACGCTTTCGTGATGTCAAGAACAACGACATGAGCCTCACCATGAGACTGGATGAGTTTACTACACAGTTGGGTGACGTAAGCTAGGAGGTCCCCTGTGGACCGTTGGTGCCAGAAACCGTACTGCCTGTCGCTAGTCAAGCTGTGACGTTCGAGGTATTCCAGAAGCTCGCGATTTATGCACCTCTCCATCACCTTACTTATAACAGAAAGCAGAGCTATAGGCCTGTAGTTGTAAGGGTCGGTCTTAGATCCTTTTTTTGGGATGGGCAGTACATGAGCAAATTTCCAGTTTTCTGGGAAGGTGCCGGATTCATAAGATATCTGGAAGAGACGCGAAAGAACTGGAGCAAGCTCCGCTGCACATCTCTTCAGTACAATGGCAGGAATCAAGTCCAGACCAGAAGCTTTGTTGATGTCGAGCGACGAGAGCACTCGTCTTACGGTCTTATGCCTGAATGTTACCTCCCGCATAGTGTGGGGAACCCTTTGAATTGACGGCAGTTGGGCGTTGGTGGGGACGTTCATGTTGGAGTTGGCAGCAAAGATCTTGGCTAGCACTTCCGCTTTGGCCTTTGAGTCGAATACAATAGTTCCATCCTGACACGTAAGTGGTGAAAGGCTACTGTGTGAGAAGTTCTTTTCAATCTGCTTGGCCAGCGTCCAGAAATACCGACTGCGCTGCGACATTACCCTGTGCCTAACTTTTATATCATGCTGGTTTTTGGCATTGCGAACCGCTTCGTTATATTTGTTTCTGGACTCGACAACGGCTTGTCTGTTCTCTACAGTGGGGTTTTGTAAGTAGGTTCTGAGTGCCATGATCTTCTGCTGGCGAGCAGTGTCACACGATTTGTTGAACCAGCCGTTGGACCCTGGTTTAGGAACTTTCACTGTGTGAGGGATGTATTCCTCCATTCCGACGTGGATAATTTCGGTTATTGAAGAACAGACAGTCGACGCATCCGCGTCAGTGAAACAGGAAGGAAAGCTAGAGAAGAAGTCTCTGAGCCCCTCCCAGTCGGCATGTCCGTAATGCCAAGTCTTGCGGCCTGTACGAATTTCTGCTGCCACAGCGGGTTCTGACCGAAACCTAACCTCCACAACACCGTGGTCTGAGTTACCCAGGGGGGAGAGTACAGCAGTGCTGTAAGGGATATGATGGATGGTCAGAAAGAGATCCAGCAGGCTACTGGCGTGTGATGAGACGCGGAGGAAAAAGGTAGGGCTCGTCACCAGCTGGGTCAGCCCTTAAGTAAGAGCTAACGCTTCGACTGTACGACCTGCTGCATTGGTCTTGTTTGTGCCCAACCAAAGCTCATTTTGGGAATTGAAATCACCGAGAAGAACTACCTTTGAAGCGGGTTGATTGATGTTCAGGAAGTAGATCTGGACGGCGAGGTATTCGAGTAGGTCATCCCAGTTATGGTTCGAGGGAGAGCGATAAAGGCAGCAAATAAATTTGGGTGATGTTTTGGAGTTGAGGCGAAGCCACAGAATGTCCTTCCGGTCTGATTCCAAAGAAAGATCCCTGGAGCAGGAAAGACTGCTGCGGACAAAAGCCACAACTCCCCTGTTCTTTCTCAGATTGGAGTGCACCTCGTAGTTTGGGAAGTTGAGATGGTTAATCGGTGCAGTCTCTGAGATTTTTGTTTCCGCCAAGAAAAGCACGGCGGGACGATTGGATTGCAGGTAGTGATGAACAGCATCAATGTTGCTGTGACATTTAGTGACATTTTCATGTGCTTTTGTTTTCTATGTGAACAAATTAAGATAAATAAAGGTTTTTCTAATTTTCTTGAAAACGAATCGACCGATTTTAATAAATCAAACTAAGCTAGTACTCGATACCCCTTGTCATTTAAAATCTTTAAGGGGAGGACCCTGGGGGGCCGAGGATGAAAGTTGTGAAGTAGTTTTTGTTTTTCGTAAAAAAGTTGTCCCCCGACAGATCTTTTGACGTGTCTCGGCGTTCTTTCTTTAAATCTGTGGTTTTCGATAAATTCGTGGTGGGAAGTTTTCAAATGAACACCGTGTAATTCCGACATCGGATAGGATGTGTTTGCTCTCTGTAACTGTGACTAGTAATCATCAGCTCCAGTCATTTGGATACAGATGACGGAAACCAAACAGGCAGATATGGATATACTAGCTTGAAGCTATTACAAATAAGCTAAATAAAATAAAAATAGACAATCAGTATTGTAGTGGGAAAAAATGATGGTGGCACTGTCACCTATGAGCAGTATCTCCAATATCGGTACCACCGACCCCTACGAAATAATAATAATGTCGAGTAAAAATTTTGGTTGTTTTATTCACTTTCTGCTTCAGGTTTAAAATTATTTATTATCCGTCAGGCAATGAAATACATGCATAGGATTTGTTAACTGATACGACTAAAAATAATTAATAAATGAAAATGTATAAAACAAACATCATAACAATTACAAACAAACCGATTCTGAGAAGGCAGAATAAAATTTAAATACAAGGAATTCTCTCAAATTAGTTTTAAACTGATAAATATCCAGCATTCCTTAATATCGTTTGGCAGCTTGTTAAATATTCTAGGTCGCAGTATATCGGGCGATTTCATAGCAACAAGGTATTTGGCAAAAGCCACATTCAAGTAACTAACCTACCCGGTTGTATAAAATTCATCAATTGGAACTTATCTCTACTATTTAAAACCAATACAGTTAGTTCGTATAAAAACAGTGAGGGTAGCGTTAAAATTTTTAGGCGCCTAAAAATATCCTTGCGGGAATATAAACTGTTGACACTCTCAATACATCTAATTGCTCTTTTTTGCTCCATACACAGGGTATTTCTAGACTCAAAGTAAGTCGATTGGAGATGATGTACCTCTATGCAAGAGTGCTTCGCTTGTCAACATTTTCTTTTTAAACACATTTGTTCATATATTTTTGAAACCGATAGTCCGATTTGAATGAAATTTGGAGCATGTATTATTGCTAGACGTCCTAATATTTGAATTTTACAAAAAAATCGAGAGTGCTCGCCCTGTACGCCCACCTTTACATAAATATCAATTTTTGTGCATTTCTCCCAACGACTCTGAATTATCTTATTTCAAAGATCATTTATTACTTCATCTTTTATCTCTAATAAAAACAGATCACCTCGCATAGCTTTTGGGAGGAAAATCTTTTGGAGCTGGCTTCTAAAATTTTTTATTATTACATCAATTTTTTGCGTGGAACGAAAATGGTGCTTATATTGAATACAAGATAACAAGATTCGCACTATAGCCTGTATGAAATGAAATTGTAATAAGTAATATCAGTTTATTTTTGCTAACTACACTTAAAGAGACCAGAGGCGGCTCGTGGCAAAATAAAACAGGTGTTCTGCAAATCCGAACTTACCTATTTTTTATATGTCAGTTCGATCCTGCGCTTCTTGTTGGCAGCAAATTTGTTGATCACCTTCCTGTTGAAATTTTCCATGGTCGAAATAAATTCCTTTTCAATGGACAGCATCGACAACGCTGCAAGGCGATCCTGAGTGATATTATTTCGAATTCTTTTCAATGTTGAGAAATTTCGCTCAGCCTCTGATGTTGACATAGGAGTTGTAACAATAATTTCAAATAGCTTTTTTGTTTCTTTTAGTGTTTCCTCCAAACTATTTTGTATCAAAAATTTCAAAAGGGACCGAGTTCCATGTAAATCTCTGCAATCATCCCGTGCATAAATAACAGACAACTCTATCTTTAAACGATTTTTTTCTAACTCAGGATAAGCCAAGCAGGTAGTTTCCAACTTGTCATCAGGAAACTTACCACAGTATTCTCCAACGTGTTCGGGGAAAAAAGGGATGCGGCTACCAAATGATCTTTGAATTGAAATCTGTCATTTGCAGAATTCAATATATTGTCGCATACTTCTAATGCGGCAACTCGGTGATCGTGACTGCTATTATTACGTCGTCTCCTTTTGTTGCCTTGGGGTTCAGTGCAAATACTTTTGGCTTCATTTATTATGTCATCAATTTTACTTCTCACATCGACAATACATTTTTCAAAATTATCGATAGCCGTTTTAACTTGCGCTGGCTCGGTTTTTCTCTTCTGCAACTGGATGAAAAGATGTCGACTTGAGGCATGACATGATGAAAAAATGTGAACCAAAACACGAAAACAGAATCGTTTAACACACGGCGAATACCGCAAGCTGCCTTGCAAACGGTTTCATTAGTGAAATTTTCTTCTGTTTCTTCCATGCATTCAATGTTCTCAAACACTACATTTATTGTTCAAATATTTAAATTCCAACGAGTTGTTGCTCCTCGGGGAATTTTTTCCCCACAATTCTGTTCAGTACCTCTACGCATTGAGGAGAATTCTTAAAAAAATCCCGGAATATCTTTCAAATCCCCAAAGAACACCAGAACTTGAGCATTTGCGGTAGCAGCTTGGGACATAATCAGGTTTAACTGATGCGCATAGCAATGCACATAGTGAGCAAATGGATATCTTTGTTTAATTTTTGCCTGTACTCCAGCATTATGTCCCCTCATTACCGCGGCTCCCTCATAGCTTTGTGAAATCAGTTTGTTAGGGAAATTTTCTATTAATGGATCTACGACGCTCAAAATATGTCTTGCGAGAGTATCAGCGTCACATTTTTCGTGATTCATATAATTCCAAAAACGTTTTACTGGTTCGCCGTTAAATATGTATCTGAAAATTGTTACCAGTTGAGTTTTCCCCTAAATGTCCCTTGTTTCATCTGCTATTATCGCCAAATACGAGGCTCTGTTAATCTGTTTTATTATTTCTTCATGACAAACTTCAAGAATACATTCCAGTAGATCTTTTTGTATTTCTTTCGAAGTTCCTTTAAATATTGAAGCATTTTTTATGTGTTCGCTTAAGGTTGTATCAAGCTCAGCAGAAGAATTAATCAGTTCACGAAATATTCCCGGGATTTGGGAGCTCTCGGTTTCGTCGTGGCCCCGTAGCGCCAATTCAAATGCTCCGCAAAATTTTATACAATCGATTATTTTTGATTGAACGTACCTGTTCTTTGTAACGGTATCATTATGCTGTTGTATATTTCTCCAGTATGCTGAATCTAACTGAGCTCTGATGTTAACAGTCCCCAATAAAGCCAATTCCACCGAATTATGAAGATGTGTAGAGTTTTCATGCTTCTTAATTTTTTCACTCATTTCACTCAGGTGCACTAAATCTGTAACACCTACCTCCGTCCATGCTTTGTCACAGCCGAAAAGTATGTAAGGAAAGTAGAAAAGGGCATTCTTTCTGTTGCACCCACAAATCCAGTGATTTCTGGTGTAAATCTCCCTGCTGAAATACCGCGTATAGCCCTTGCCCCGACTAACGCCCTGTGTTTCTATAAATATGTCCGGCAGCGGTCGACCTAACACCTTCAGCTCATTTTTTTCTTCAAATGTGTATTTCCAGAATCGTTTCACGCTGAAGTCTGTAAACTACATCCATTGTCTTGCACTACCCTTCTACACAGCCGTAGTCAATCAGTGAGTCACTAGTCACTCAACCGAGCACCGACCGACCAATTAGATATCGTACTTCGCATTAGATCTGTATAACTTGCAGCACATGCTTATGCTTAAATCACGCATTTGATTTTGTTGAGATAGACAAAAGCAAGCACGTGCGGCTTGTGTCGAAGTAGTGCACAGACCCCTTTCAAGTGGCCCATGAATAATGTTACGCTGCGGTCGCGACGAAAATGACAAGTACACAATTGGTCGATTATAATTCTTTCTCAGTACAAAACAGACTCGACGCCGTGTCTTGTGGGGGCAGGCCGGTATTGTTTCTATTTGTGTGATAACATGGAAAATAAATAATGATCAAATTACTACTGCTTTTTTCTGTTAAGACAAAAGTTTTGGCAGTTCTGCAGCTCTTCAGAACTTAAGGGCCAGCCGCCTCTGAATAAAACGCTTGGGAATCAATTGATGCAACTAATTTTCTTTTTCTCGAAAACCATTGGAGATATCTTGTATTTACAGGAGACAAAAAAATAAGAAAATAAAAACATCTAAGTATGAAGAATTCTGAGTCGTCAAGAAAATTGCCAAAAAAACCCTTCTATAATTGGACTATCGCCTCTATATATATATATATATAGATACAGAGTGACCTCGAAGTTGAGTCATTTATTTTAACAGTGAGTAGATCTGATCAAAAGAAATGTTTTTTTCCTTTACCATTTTTCTGGTAAAATTAAAGTAACAAAGTTATAGCCCTTTAGAAGTTTGAGTACCGCCCTGTCTCAATAATATTATGTGCTGGTGTTTGGTAACAACGGATATAATCCGCCTCGGTTCATCGCATCGGAAACAAAAAAGCGAAAGAATTTGAAACGTTTATCACGATGTTTTTCGTCAGTCGATAAGGTGTGAGTGAATAGTAGTGTTTGTTGCGTGGCTCAAACGAAATAAAAAATGGCACATGTTTACGAAAATGCTGAACTTGTGGACATGATTCTTATTTACGGTCTTTAGGTCTTTACAAAATGCTGCCGCGGCATCACAGATTTGTGCGAATCGGTTTCCCAATCGAGTGCAACCAACCCCTCGTGCATTTGTTAATGTAGTACAAAGGGCTCGTGAATCAGGTGACTTAAGACTTCACAGGCATGCCGGTGCTCCAAGACCGCACGATCAAATACAGGTCCGCACTGAAATACTTGTCGGGAGGATACTTTATAAAACAAGGTAACATTTTTTTTAATTTTTTTTTATTTTTACACACATATTTTGGTTTATCTCCCTTCTACAATCATTATCTGAAAATTAATGACTCAACTTCAAAGTCACCCTGTATATATAAATATATATATATATATATATATAAATATATATATAGTATTGGGACACCCTGTATAAGTGTGTTCAATAAGACTACATGTATGTTGCTATTAGGGAAATGTCTGCGAAGAGCTACCATCCAGGTTGTTCCTATTATCCAGCAAAGTCTCGAAAATTGCTTCATCCATATTTTTCCTGACATTATATTATGCTCGTCATGTGTCTGTATGGATGAACAGGAAGTAAAAAACGTTTCCAATGATCGGTGACACCGAAATTCGCTTTCAAGAAAAAAATGGGCGGGCGGGCGGTAGAAGGAGGTGGTAGCGGCAAGCGGAAGGAAAAACAAAACAGCGATTTCCAATACCAGGCCACTTTGCATATTCTCCAAATAATTTAGGCGAATTACATTCCCCTCACTTTATCGGCTAGCGTTCGGAATTGGCTCCGGATCGCTCTCTATATCTCTGTCTCTGTCGGTGATGCCAAGTCGATGGGGTTTTCTCGGAATTTATTTGTCTAAATACACATCCTTTGGGATTGTATTTTTCAAGGTGGACATTCACCGGGATACAATGTCCCTAAAGGCATGCCCATGAATAGAACAGGACACAGGGTTTTCCAATAAGGGTGTGTCACCGTTAATAGTCCGAGGTCCCAAGGCTGCCAGACGCAACTTATTTACTAAAGGGCAAAACGTGGCATTGAGTAGCGTTTATATGTGCTTTGGATGCCTGCTTATCTGCGAAGTTAGGTAATCTGCCGGAAATATGATTACAAAGTAATGCCCAGTGCTGCCATGACCATAACTTCTGCGAGACAGTTTAAACAAAGTGTGACTCGCTAAAAATTAACCTCATTCTAGCCTTTTCCTTACCACGTACTTACAGCTCGTATTTCGATGACATTTTTACACAATGTTACTCCTGTGCGAAGGTTGCAAAACCTTTAGTTTCGTTTTTGACGTTTCATATGATCCTGAATTTTTTTGTACAGGCTAAAAATTGGGGGCTAGAAGTTGTAGGGTGTGGGAAAGGGTATATCTTAATGTCCTGGCGTTACTACATTTACAGGCCTCCAACTCCAATAAGTCTACGCACCTGTTAGGGATATGTCACTCATATTGGATGTCGCCGTACATTTACACCTAAAACTTCCGATACTTGCATGTCAACACGTGCGATGTGGTCCCGTGATGGACGAGCGTCATACGTCACAGTCGGCAATCGCTTCCGCACTTCTGTGGGTTGGGTGCACTGTGCTAGGTGAAGGCCAGTATCGTTATTCAGGTGGAATTGGTCATCACAAAGATCATGTGCGCCTGCAGGAATTCCTCTCAGGGGAAGGAGAAAGGTCATTTTATTTTTTGTCATACATGTTCGCAGGCTTTTCTCAGAAAGGCTAGATTGTCTCAAACATAATTCTTTACGAAGTGATGATAGCGTTGCGTGAGATGTACACAGTCAACTTCCCAGATGCCATTTTTTATATAAGTGTTAAGGAAATTATGTTATATACAAAACTTATACTGCTTGATATAAAGTTGTCAGTGCATTTTTTTTATGCATTGAAAAGTACAATATTATTCAGTAGAATTTTTATGCTATTAAAACTACTTCATACCTCATGCTTTGTCTTTCAAAAAATAAATTACTTTTTGCAGCCCTGAGACTTCACAAAAGGGAGTAAAAGTATCGAATTTTATCAATGAGTGCCACTGCATAGGTATGAGATTTTAGATGTTTAACAAATCTACACACGGCGTGCTTAATCTTCACCTTTTCGGAGACACCGTTGAGCGCGACAAGGCGCCGCACAATAACCGCCATGATAGGCATTTTGCATGAGGCTAAGGCCCGTATCGTCAGTCGTCCCTACAATTGTAGGGTGCCTTTATGGCCTCCTTGATTGTCATAGTTTTCTACTTCTCCGTGTCAGAACTCTATTTTGAGGTTATGTCACAAACATCTATTTGCATCAAATTGTGCTTGCTTTTGAGTTATATCATGTTTTATCAGCCTGAAATTTCCTACAATTTAAAAAGAAAACATATCTTCACAATTGCAGAGCGCTGACGCTGACTCGGGACAAGTGTAATCTAGAAATTTTTGAAGAAGAGAAAGGAGTATGACAATCAAGGAGGCCATAAACCCGCCCTACAATTGTAGGGACGACTGACGATACGGGCCTAAGATGCTCTCGCAGAGATGAGGTTAATTGATTATGGAAATGTCCCCTTTAGACTTGTGGGGCTTTCTCGAGTTTCTGGTCTTTGCCATTGAGCTGGATCTACCGTGGCCCTCATATTGTCCAGACCATCGCATCGCTCTGATCCTTCGAGCCCAAAAGATCCACAAAAAAGAGAAAGGATCACGCGGAGAAAGGTATATATTAAATAGAAAAACTAATGGGCAATGTCGCAAAAAGAAGGAAAGCGGACTAGAGAAGTAAAAAAAATGGCTACTGGCTATAACCGGACGCGTGGTGGTGGTTAGATTTCGCCTTGAATATGCGAGGTCTTCTGGCCATCATACCACAATGTGTAGGTTGGCTCTTGTTGGTGACTTCGTGTGTGGTTTGATTCCTTCTTCATCATCGTTTCCTCAAATTTAGCTAATATCCTCAGCATTTATACAAAATAACAATTTATAATTTTTCAGAAATTTCTTAGCATCATGTTGATGATATTTTGAGGAACTCTCAGCAGATTTTTGCCTGACAGCTGAAACGATACAAAGCAATAATATTACTTTACGCAATTATTGCTAAATAGTAACAGACATGATGCGCAACTGGCCATGGTGCATGGATAACAAGACCATACGTCAGTTTTTTTTGTTGTTTTCGGCCCATTGTTTCCAACAAAAAGCTTGGGACGCAAAGTTGTTCCTCTTCCAAGCTAGGGATGAACTTTTCAATCCCCAGAATTGGCCCTACTAATTGAGATGCATGAACCGAAGTCCCGTTTTAACTCAAAAATTAAATAGTTACGTTATAGACTACAAAATTGTTACTAGATATCAAAGCCTGGAACCTGATTCTAACTGAATCTTGACCGCTAAAATTAATGTCGATGTCTTCTTGCCCTCATACATGTGATTCGCTACGACAATTTCGACACTGCCATGATAATTTGAAAATAGGAACTCCTACAATGAAGCGTCAAAATTATCATAACTGATCATATGTATTACGACAAGGTGACACTGAAATTATTTCAATGGTCGAAATGCAGTTTGAATCCGACCACAGGATTGACAAGGAAGCGGAGCGAATATATCATTATATCTGCACTGTTTATTTTGACAGTTACCTAAAGATGGTAGGGGAAATTTTTTTTGTGAATTGTGTATACTGCAGCGACGTCG